TTTGAACCATTTGAATTTCCTTTTGGGTGAACTACCTGGGGTTTTTTTGCACATTTTTCTTTTAGGTCTACACACAATTTTATAGCTAGAAATTCACAAATTGGAGTAGGAATGATGGTGTTTAAATGTCATGTTTTGGATTGAAAAATGTAGTTATTATATACCTCACAGGCAACCTTGCATCTGTAAACAGGAGGTGAAAGTAAACCAGGTCAGAACTGACAGGGCATGGGTAATTTTTTTGTCTGGGTCCAATCTCAGACTCTTAACCGAAGAAAAAATACTGTACCTAAATATTATGAAAAGCACAAAAGCAGGCTCACTGTCTAGTTTCATCTGTTGCTTTTTGTAAAATAGTTTCATTTATTGTCTCATGGTTCTGGAGGCTGGAAGTCTGAAATGAAGGTGTCAGCAGGACTATGCTCCCTCTGAAATCTGCAGGAGATCCCTTCATTGCCCCTTGGTTGCCTCAGGTGAGTTGTTGGCAATCTTTGGCATTTCTTGGCTCACAGCAATATTCCTTGGTTAGCTGCATCCCAGCCATCTCTGTCTTCATCGTCACATGACATTTCCCCTGTATGTATGTCTTCACACAGCCATCTTCACACAAGGACACCCTACCTCTACTCCTACATGACCTCCTCTTAAGTGATTATATCTGCCACAGGTTTGTTTTCAAATAAGGTCACATTCTGAGGTACTGGGGGTTAGGGTTTCAGCACAATTCAAACCATAATAACTTTTCCATAGAATCTTTTGGGAGAAGGTGAGAGAGGGAGAGAGAGAACGGAAAAGTCAAAGGTGCCGAGCCTGTCCGAGTCACGTTGCCAGGAAACAGTTACAACTTCCGCACTCCCCAGGAGCACAGTGCAGTTGCACTACCTCGAGCTTCACTCTGACCTATCGGAGGAATTCACACAGCACCTCTGCCCCCCAGGTGGAGTCAATACTCCTTCCTGGGTTCGTGCATCACTGCCTGCAAGCACCACATTCAGCCAGCACCCTGCCCCCCTGCCTTGGACGGGGAGACCACACTGCCAGGTAAGAAAAAAAAGGAAAGTAGGAAGGCTCAAGAGACCCCCTCCCATCCGATCCCAGACTGCAGGCCTGGGAGACTTGTGCTTGCTTGTTGTGCTCCCTTGTGGCCCTTTGAGAGGGACGAGAACCCACAGGTGGAACTGTTCTGGAAGTAAGCCCAACTGCTCTCACGTTTCGGTCAAAAGACGTCCTTTTTGAATTTGACACCATTTAATAGGCCACTGAACCTATTACAAGGCTACGCATTGAGGCCAGGTTTTTCCACTTGGTTCACACACCTACATTTAGAGACCTTCCTGTCCTTCTGTGGACAGGATTTCAACTTTTGCTTGTTGTCTCAGAATTAACATGCAACCTTGCCTCGCTTTGCTGTGGTATATTTGACTATTAATCCACTCACATCTAAGCACTTTGCTTCCTTTCCCAAACACATCTTGGAGCATTTTTGGACCTTTTCAGTGGCCAAGGAATTTTATCCTAATTTCTAAAACGACATTGAGAAGTTATCATAATGTTCTAATGGGAATATATATATATATATATGTATATATATATACACATATGTTTTGCATTACTATGACCTCTTCCAATTTGAATATATATTGAATATATAAATATTTAGTGTAGGTCATTACTTGGTGTGATGATCATATAAGTCCAGATAATCCTTCTGCCAATGTTTATTACTTAATCCATTCCCCCACTGTCTTTTTTTCAAGAGCCATGGGCATTTTCTTTATATTCTAGGCTACTAAATAATTCTTGCCTTGTATAGCATATGATAGCTGGGTGGGATTTTTTTTTAACACGACAATTCTGTTGAGGATAACTCTTTTCAGATGATTATCTGGTTGATTTTTAGAAATGCAAATGCAGAGTTGTTTTTTAATTAGCTACACCTGGGTTATTTCTCCATGGACTCCGGGCCTCCAGAGAGCACTGGCTGAAAAAGGCTGGTGGACATCATTCTGGGGAAGGCAGAAAGAAAAGGTCAGTCCTGCCTTCCCCAGCCCTGCAGCAGCAATAGTTTTCTGGAAAGTGAGATAGAGAAAGTAAGGTTACATTTGAGTTTAAATGGTCGCTTTCTCTCCAACCAAAAGAACGTTCTTCTTCATCATTGCTTCAGCTGGGCTTATATGGGAGGTGACAGGGTACACAATGTGGGGCATGAGGTACTGTCTCCCTTCTTTTCAGAACTCACCTAATAACATCTTTCCCAGAACGAACATGCCTACTCAAAAGTCATTGAAGTTGATTTTAATCTACACCCTGCATTCTAGAATTTAGACACCAATGAGAGGCTAACCTAAGTTGTCTCCCAGGGTCTAAAAGGCCCTGGATCAGAGAATGGCATGCTTCCTACTGAGTTTACTAGGACATTAAACCACAATTTAATTCCACACTATCTTTCTATTATCAGTAATTCTCCTCAAAAACTACACTCATTACTACAGGGCCCCAAATAGAGTGAGGTAAGTGAGGTATTCTCCTAGGGGTGAAATTTAAAGAGGCCCTAAAGAGTCTCAACCATGAAGCAAATAATATTTTAATGCAAAAAAATAAAAAATAAAAACCAAATTGGCAAACTAAGCCAGCTAACTGCCTACCTTTGTAAATAAAGTTTTCAGGGCTCGGATTAGGGTGGGAGAGAGGCAGGACCTACTAGTGAGGGGTGGGTCCTGCATTTGAAATTTTTATATATTGCTCATCATGGATTTTTCTGCATTCATTTTGATTTTTTTAAATATTGCATTAAGGGCCGGCCGAGTGGCTCAGTTGGTTAAGAGCTCACTCAAGAGTTTGAGCTCTGAGCAACAGTGGTTCAAGTCCAGCCTGAGCTGAGCTGCCACTGAGCTGCCAACAGGTGGCAGGATGGCTCAGCTAAAAAAAAATAATAGAAAAAAATTGCATTAAAATATTTATCTAGAGAGGGATCTAAGATGGCAGAGTAGAAAAACAGTGTGCCTGTTTCCTTCCATAAACACATCAAAGTTCCAACTGAATTATAGGACAACCAACCTACAGAACCATCTGAAATCTAGCTGAACAAAAGCTTTATTATAACTAAGGATATAAAGAAGCCATGTTGAGACTGGCAGGAGGGGTGGAGACGAGAGACAGGTTGGTCCCAAGCCTCCTTGTGGCAGATAAAAATTGGGAGGGATATCTCAGCCACAGAGGCTCCCCATGGAGGAGCAAGGGACCCAGCCACACACCAGGCTCCCCAGCCCAGAGTACTGGTGCCAGGAAGAAGAGCCACCGCAACATCTGGCTATGAAAAACAGTGGGGGTTCCAACCTGGTGGGATGGAAGGCTTCAGGAAACCCAGATGTGCTCTTAGAGGTCCCAAAGAGACTCACTCTCTGGCACTCACTCTGGGGTCCGGCGGAGGGACAGTGACTCAGGGGGTGCTGCAGGCTGAGGTGTGTGGCTTCAGGGTATGGGCTGGAAGATAGTGTCCATTTTCCATATGTAGGTCCTCCTCCCGTGCAGCAGGCCAAATCTAAATCTGATTGGTCTAGTGAGCTCCGTTGCTCCACCCTGGTGACTCACTGAGGCCCCACCACACCCAATTCCTTACTGCACAGGGCTTTATCAGTGGTTGAACCTTAGGGGAGGAGGCAACTGGCAGAAGACCTTGGTGTGTCCTGCCCTTTTGTGGAGCTACTCCAGACCCGATACTGGTGGAAGCCATTCTTGGTTCACAGCGTGGCCTCTCCCACATGCCTCCAGGTCCAGCACAGGCAGCGAATAACCATGGATCGCTTTGTCACTCCTAACACATAGTTCCCAACCAGTCACAGGCAGTGGTTGACCTGGGCCTGCACAGCAGCCCCTCCTAAGAGGCCCCAGAACATACTTGAAGGTTGGCTTCAGACCACAGCAGAACACCACCCAATTAGCCCGACAGGAGGCACACCCAAAGCCCATTGAGGCAAATCCCACTTCATGTGGTAAGCCCCCCTGCACAGCAGCAGCCCATAAGCTTTGGATGTGGCCAAACCCCATAGCCGGCCAGCCTGAGGGTCAGTTTCACCCACTGATGTGCAAATAGCAATCAAGGCTCAAATATAACAGGAGGGCCCACACAAGGGACACTCCTGGAACACGCAGCTCAGGTGACCAGGGAGACTGTGCCACTGGGCCCCACAGGGCACCTTCTATACATACGGCTACCCGACAAGACTGAGAGACATAGCAGATCTACCTAACACATAGAAACAAACACAGGAAGGCAGCCAAAATGAGGAAACAAAGGAATATGTCCCAACTGAAAGAGCAGGTGAAAACTCCAGAAAAAGAACTAAATGAAATGGAGGCAAAAATCCTACCAGAGACAGAGTTCAAAACACTGATTATAAGGCTGCTCGAGAAACTTAGTGCGGACTCCAACAAAGAGATAGTAAGCATAAAAAAAGACAGAAACCATCAAAAAGAACCAGTCAGGAGTGAAGAATAAAATAACTGACATGAAGGATGCAATAGGAGGAATCATCAGCAGACTAGATGAAGCAGAGGATTAAATCAGTGAAATGGAAGTCAAGATAGCAGAAAACACCCAATCAGAGCAACAAAAGGAAAAAAGAATTTTAAAAAAATGAGGATAATTTAAGATTCATCTAAGATAACATCAAGTGTAACAACATTTGCACTATAGGGGTACCAGAAGAAGAGAGACCAAGGGATTGAGAACCTATTTGAAGAAATAATGACTGAAAACTTTCCTAACTTGGCAAAGAAAATAGACATACAAGTCCAGGAAGCACAGAGAATCCCAAACAAGATGAAACCAAACAAGAACACACCAAGACACATTATAATTAAAATGGCAACGGTTAAAGACAACGAGAGACTCTTAAAACAAGCTACAGAAAGGCCTCTAGTAATTTACAGGGAGCTCCCATAAGATTGTCAGCTGATTTCTCAACAGAAACTTTGCAGGGCAGAAGGCATTGGCAGGAAATACTCAGTGATGAAAAACAAGGATCTACAACCAAGATTACCCAGCAAGGCTATCATTTACAATCGAAGGACAGATAAAAGAGCTTCCCAGACAAGAAAAAGCTAAAGGAGTTCATCAGCACCAAACCAGTAGTAGTAATATAAGGAATGTTAAAGGGACTTCTTTAAGACAAAATAAATTAAAAATTAATTAATTTTAAAAAATGGAATAATAAAATGGCAATAACTACATATTTAACAATTACTTTGTTAATAAATATTAGTAAATAAATAATTTACTAATGTAAATGGATTAAATGCTCCAATCAAAAACATAGAGTGGCTGAATGGATAAGAAAGCAAGACCCTTCCATATGCTGCCTACAAGAGACTCGCTTACACAGACTGAAAGTAAAGGGATGGAAAAAGTTATTTCATGAAAGTCAAAATGGGGTGGGGTGGGGGTGGGGGAACCTGGGGTAGCAGCACTTATACCAGACAAAATAGACTTTCAAACAAAGGCTATAACAAGAGACAAAGAAGGACCCAGTAATCCCACTTCTGGATATTTATCTGAAGAAACCCAAAATGCTACTTCAAGGGGACGAGTGCATCCATATGTTCATTGCAGCATTATTTACAATGGCCAAGATGTGGAGGCAGCCTGGGTGTTTGGCGATAGATGAATGGATAAAGAGCAGGTGGTACATACATGAACATACAATGGAATATTGCTCTGCCATGGAAGGGAGGGGGTTCTTGCCATCTGTGGTGGCATAGATGAACCTGGAGGGTATTGTGCTGGGTGGAATGTCAGACAGAGAAAGACAGTTGCAATGTGATTTCACTGATATGTGGAGTCTAAAGAACAAAATAAACAAAATGGAAACACACTTATAGATACAGAGAACATTTTGATGGTTGCCACATGGGAGGGGATTTGAGAGGTGGGTGAAAAACAGGAATGGATGAAGAAGTACAAATTGGTAGTTACAAAATAGTCATGGGGATGTAGGGTATAGCATAAGGAATATAGTAAATAATATTATAATAACTATTATGTGGTCAGAAGAGTACTAGGCTAGTCAGGGGGAATCAATTCTTAAATTATGCAAATGTCTAACCACTATGCTGTACATCTGAAATTAATATAAAGTAATATTGAATGTTAACTATAATTGAAAAATTTTTAAGGGGGAATAGGAGGTTGAAATTTCCAGGTATAAAACAAGTAAGTCATGGGGGATGTAATGTACATACAGCATGGAGAATATAGTCAATAATATTTTGATAGCATAGTACGGTGTTAGATGGTTGCTGGGCTTTTGATGATCACTTCTTTAGGTATATAAATGTTGAAAAACTATGGTGTACACCTGAAACTGATAGAATGTTGTATGTTAGCTATGTTTTTTTAATAAAAATCTTTTAAAAATATTTATCGTGATTATTGAGATGGGTTGTTTTTTTCTCTGAACCCATAAATTCTGCAATTGAAACATGTTCTTACGACTAGCCTCACCCTAGTCCTGGCCCTGAAAAATACAGAGGAGTCAACAAAAAGCTATATACCTTGCTCAACCACCACTCCTAAGTAAGAACCAGGCTGGTCCCCTCACCATCTGTCAGCGGACACAGGCCCTCACCATGATGTCTCCTGCTGACCTGGTGGGTTTCAAAACCCTCTCCTCTAGCTTGCTGAGCACGTGTATTAACGTACGTTGCATTCTGATTGGTCTCCACTCGCAGCCAGAGTGCCTCGACCACGTGTGCTTTTGCACTTGGGCTGACGTTCTAAAATGATCTCTTCCTCTTCTCGAAGTTACCTAAATCCCACCATTCGCTATCGCTTAGTCTCCTCCACAACGCCTTTCAGAACCGCGCTGACCCGCAGCGATGTTCTCTCCGGCAGTGGTCCTGCGCCTCAGCCCTGTGCTTGGCTCCGGGACCTGGGGTGACAGGACGCGGCCTCGCCGGGGTCGCCGGGGCGGTGGACAAGCTCCACGCCCCGGTCCAGCTCGCAGTCCTGTAGCCACATCCTTGCGCCGGGCATCTAGTGATCGCGTCTGCGCGCTCCGCTGAGTCCGCCTGAGTGAGAAAGGGACAGAACCGCTCCCAGGTACAAACGGGAGGAGACTGAAAAGCGAGAAAAAGCTCCCGGCGCGCCAGTGCGCAGGCGCAGCGCGCCTGGTCTCGCCTTCGGCCTGGTCCCCGTCCGCTAGCTCGGCGCTCGGCTCCCCAGTGGGGGGCGCTAGCAGGAGAGCGCCGCCGCGGGTGTGGGCTCTCCCGAGGGCGTGGTGCGGGCGGAGGGGCGCCGGCCAGATGCAGCGGGTGACGGCGGGTGACAGCGGGCGGGGCGGCGGGCGGCGCCGCGTCCACGCCCTCCGCTCGGCCGGGCCGGGAGGGTCCCGGGGTTCCGTGCGCGCCGGGGCCGTCGGGCTGAGGCACACAGCTCGGACGCGGCGCCATGCGCGGCCCCGCTGCCCGTCCGCTGCGGCTCCTCGTGAGGCGGGGCCCGGTCGCCTTCACGTGGACCCCGGCCGCCCGCGCCTCCTGGGCCCGGCTGCAGTCGACCGGCCTGTTGCCGCCGCGGCCTTGGTCAAGCGCGGGGCTGGGGCTCCTCGGGAGTGCAGGAGCCGCGCGAAGCCCGCGCTGCTGGACGAGCGGCTGCCTGGGCGGGGGTCCCGGCGGCCTCGGCGGCGGAGCGGGCCTCGCGCGGCTCCTGGGGCTGTGGACGCGGCGCCCCGGCGCCTGCAGCAGCGAAGTCCTCCGGCCCGGCGCGGCCCGGCTCCCACGCGCTGGACTCCCCGGCGGGGGGCGAGGCCTCGCGGCGCGGACCGGCGTGGCCTGCGGCCGCTGCGGCCGCTGCGGCTCCGAAAAAGGACTCAAGGCTGCGCCCCGCGGCGGCCGGGCGCTCGGAGGCCCGGAAGCTCCTGGAGCTGGCGTACCCCGAGCGCCGGAGGCTGGCAGGTAGGGCCCTCCCCGTCCACTTCCTTCCCTTCTGCCAGCCCGCACACCTTCCAAAAAGCGTGGTCCCGGGGCCTCCAGGAAGAGACTCTGCCGGGCGGCACACTGACCCTGCGCGGCTTGCAACGCCGTGAGGAGGGACCGGTGGCCTTCTCCCCGGGGATTTCTACCGGGAGGGCCGGACGGAGCGCTCACTTCACGGGACAGTTGTGGAGCCTTTCGGGTTAGTTGCGGACCAGTTTGAAGATTTGTTTTGTTTGTTTTCTTAGCCTGACATTACCCCAGTGTGGTGTTTCGTTGTTAGCAATTTGGGTCTGTTCCTCTTTGGCTTTGCCAGCATTCAGAACGAGCAGGGGGTTTCCCATCAACTATTTTTAAAAATTAACTCTAGCCAAAAACATGCTCATTTTGCGTTATGCACTTATACTGAGTTTTAAGACATCATTTGCTCTAGGCAAGTGTATTAGGCAGCCAGCAGCATAAGCTTTCAGATAGTCTTCTTGCCTTTGCCGCCCTGAGTGGGAGGTAGGAAGTTACCTCGCTCTTTAGAATAGTCAGCCCAGGCCAGATCAGTGATCTCTCCACTCCAGAAGTTTGGAGAAACTAGATCGCAATCCAACTAAATCATAATTAAGTATTTTTTCAAAGAAATGAAAAGGAATGAAATCCAGATAAACAGATAATTTTCTGTAGCGCCTCATTTTTAGCCATAATTAGAGAAATGATTAAATGCGAGTTTTACCAGGTTCCCCCCAATGAATCCATTTAAATGTATTGTGCCCTTGGGCTACATTGGTGAGTGGAGAGAACCGGTTTGTGCTCCTGCTGGGACTTCCAGCTTGGTGGGGGCGAAACCTTATGCGATAATGCTGGGACTAGAGCAGAAACTGCCGCTGTGGAAAGGCTTGGAAAGAAGACCTGTGAGGTTAGAGGTGCCACACTTGAAACTGGTGACAATCTTTTGTGCTTCTCTGCAAATCCATGGCCTTCATTAAGGCTCCGAGAGTCATGTGTGGTTCAGGGCAGGTTCGTGCTGTGGGGATGGCAGTGGAGGGGGACACTCTCCCTCTCACTGACTGTTAAAGCTGAGCGGGATTCGCAGTATCTCGGGGGTATAAAAATAATTACTCCATCACTTAGTTACTGTATGTCGACTTTGGTGGAAATAAAGACCCTTTCCTCTTTTAAAAGAAAAGTTTGAAACTAAGCACTCTCGTGGACTGTGAGCTGCTTGAGAAGTGGCTGTCTGATTCATCTCTAGTTCTTCATGTGTACGGCACAGGGTAGGGACAGAGGATGGTAAGGGAGGCCCAGGCTGAGGCCAAAGAAAGACATCCTGCCTGGAGCACTGCAGGGTGTGTCAGCCATCCTGCGTGTGTGTAGAAATCCTGTTTTGTTTCTGAAATAGTCAAGAAGGTTTTGTAGATGTCAGGCTTTCCTGGTGCCTGCATGTGCTCAGCCCTGCTAGGTAGCCCAGCCTCTCCATGACCATGGTCTCTGTACCCCCTTACCCTGGTCCAACATGTCCTGCCATGCCACTTTGTTGAGAAGACAGCCTGAAACAAGGCATAAGATGTACCTCCTTTTATTTTAAGAAGGGGAGCTATTTTGATATGTCATGTGGAATAATTGTGAACATGGAATTTGAGGAAATAAGTCTAGGGTTGGTACACAATTTTTTTTTTAACTTTTTAAACAGATACTAAATGCGTATTGTATCTTATGAGGAAATCTGATGAAAACCCCGTCTTAGGACATGGGGTTTCCTGCGAAGTCATGATATATGATATATTGAAGCCAATCTGGATGTTGGCATTTGTGGGATTAACAGGAAGTGAGGGGTCATCATTAATTTGTAGCTTATCATTAGAGCAGCCTCAGATGTTGGCCCATCTCCGAAGTGCTAGAGATAAAGAGCAGTTGTATGTGTGTATGTGTGTGTTTATTTTTTAAACAAGAAATCAAAAAGAGCTGAGTTGAAGAGTAGGAATTCCAATGTTAATTTGTTCATTTTTAGAAAAGCAAATACAAAAATTCTTTTCAAAAATTCATTTATGCATTTGAATAACAATATTTTCAACTGTGTAGCAATTTGCAAATAAGAACCTGAACTGTGTGATCAGAAAACTTTGATCTTAAGTAGTTTATATCAGGATCTTAAAAACAGGGTCTGCCTTCTGAAGTGTTTACAGAAGTGTGCTGAGAAGTTTCAGCATCGTTTCCGTTCTCATTCTAAAGGAACCGGAGTCCTCTAACCTGCCCTTGGCCTCTCCTGCCCGCATGTCACTTTGTGTAGGAATCCGCAGCTATCTTGCTCCAACTGTGGCTGGCCTACAAAGTTGCTCTCCAGTCTTTTTTCTCTGATAATTCTTCATCTTATCACCTTGGCCAAAGGAGTCTTAAAAGACACAGGGGCTCTCTGAGGAGCCCCGTGTGGACTGATGGGATAAGACATAATTGCTTAAAACCCTCTTGCTGCACCTGGCAGATAGAAGAGGCTGCTGAGGGCTCTGACCATCCTGTGAGTCAGGTAGGGAATGGAGTGGGTAAAGTTGGATCTTAGGAGTGAGCTGTGGGCCCTTAGGGTCCTGTGACATTGTAAAGACCCTGCCAGCCCAGAAATTAGTTCTTTGTGGGCCGGCCCTCTCGTGGAAGTGGCTTGCCTTGGCGGGCTCAGGTCAAACCGAAAAGGGCACGTCCATTTCTCCACCCCCAACTTGTTCAGTCGGGGCCTCTGTGGGCAACCTGGGAGGGTGCTTCCCACTTAAATTACTGATAGAGGCTTGTGTGGTTTGAGATTAGGACTGTTCTTAGAACTTGGTGCCCGCCAGGAGCTTTGGCTGAAGTTGTAGTGATATTTTGTGACCAGAATGAATAGAGTGATAAAACCAGTGGAAGCAGTACGCAAGGAGAGAACAAGTAGTGCTTAGAATGACTTTTCCTGGAGCCCACGTTAGGACAGAGGTTCTGACAAGTATGGTACTGACAGGACAGTGAGGCTGAACCTTTGAAACTGAGACTACTTCAGAAAGCCAGGAATGTTCGTTTGCTACGGAAATACCATATTTCAAAGAAAACATTAAATTCTGTATCTGTGCTGTGAAATGTGCTAGTCAGCATCGATGTAAGTGTAAAATACACACCAGATTTTGAAAGGACTTACTATGAAAAAAAGTAAAATATCCTAACTTTTTTAATGTGAATTACATGACGAATAATACTTTGGATATATTGGATCAAATAAAATATGTTACTAAAATTAATTTTACCTGTTTCTTTTACTCTTTTTCATGTTACAACTAGAAAATTTTAAATCACATAGGTCTACTGGAAATTTAAAATCACATAGGTCTACTGTCATATGTCTATTGGACAGCAAGTTCCAGAGTCCAAGGCAGGCCCCCTGCTGACATGGCACGGGTGCCTAATGCCTAACACAGGCTGCCAACCTGGCCTTGTTCCAGATGTGCCAGGGCTCAGACCTTTGCCCCACAGATCAGTTCACGAACCCAAGGCCTTTGCTGCACTCTGCCTCCCGCTAGCTCTCAGGTCTGCAGCTCTTCCCCTGTCCACCTTCATGTCAGCCTCTAACCTGCATGTGTCCTCGACTCCTTTGTTCCCCATATTACCCACCTGCATTCGTAAAAATGTCCTCTAGACACCTGAAAATGCAGCACCTTTAAAGACCCAAGTTACCCGAAGCTGCCTTCTTCCTCTGTCCCCTCTCAGAGTAGGACTGCTGTGTGACCCCTTTGCCAAAGCCAGACACACAGTTGTTTCTGACTCCAGGCAGTGACAACTGTGATAAAGATAACAGTGAACATTTATTGTTACTAGATACTGGGCACTGTGCCACATGCTTTACATGTGTATTTAATTTACTGATCACAACATTTCCATGAGGGAGGTATTGTTTTTATTGCCATTTTACAGGAAGAAGCTGAGGCACTGAGAGGTTGAGTGAATCAAGGTCAAACAGCTAGATGGCAGCGTTAAGGTTCCGACCTGTCAGTCCCAACTTCAGAAACAGTCCTCCATATGCTTCCCAAATCCAGCCAGCCATCAGGTCCTAGAGAGTCTAGTTCTTAAAAATACCTCCAGTCCTGTCACCGTCCTTATCCCCTTTGCTCCCCGCAGTTCATCCTAGGCCCCCTCTCTCCTGGAGCATGGGAACAACGTTTTAACTGTCCCTCTGTCTGCTGCCCTGCTAGTGGCCAGTCCTCCCCTTTTACTCTGCATGCAGCCAGAATGGATCGTTTAAGAACCAAATCTGACTGCCTCACTCCACAACCTGAAGCCCTGGCAGGCCTGCACGGCTGCCACGTCCCTGTTCTCCTTTATAATCTGGAACCTGCTGCCACCTTCCCTCCCTGTGAGGTCCTACCCTAACCCCAGGCTAGGCCCATGCTGTTTCTTCCACTGAGAATGTGGGCGGATGAAGAAGACAGGCTTAGTCTCAGAATGTGGTTCCATGTCACATGAACGGGGTGACTTGGACAAGCTCCCTCACTTCTTGAGTATCCTTTCTGAAAAAATAAGGATAGCAGGCGGGTTGTTTGTGAGGAGTGAAGATATGCATATCAGATGCTTCAGATAGTGGTGGGGGCTCCTTAGTACTGCATCTTTGCTCCTTGAATGACATTGGGGACAGGTACCTGCCTAAGACGTGAATCATTAGAAGATCTATCCCCTGGGTCCAGCAGGTGGTACTCATGCTTTACAGCTTCCTTACACCCCAAACCTTTGTCCTCCCACCAGCTCCCTGCCTCCCAGAGCCCTACATTTTAGGTCCTTTTTCCCCTTTCTTTTGAAGGATTTCTTTCACCGAATGCCACAATTCAGTAGAATGAGGGTAACATTTACTTTAAGCTGTCAAGAGATAGATAACAGAAGTTGCTGAGGTCCCTTCAGGCACGGACAGGAGCAAGCCAGAGCTTTAACCATGGAGAAAAGGTGGAGAAGAATTTCAGGACCGCAGTGTGCTCAGCATGTGGAGTTTAGAGAGAAAGCTGAAATAGTTGTTATGTGCAAGTCTAAAGTATTCGTTAATGCCAAAGGCAGTCATCATATGCAGGAAAACCCTGATTAACAAGAATCCGCATAACCGGAAGCTAAATAAACCTTTTGTTTCACTTTTGTCTCCATTTACTTTGTAGGAGAAAGAGGCAAATGGCAATAAAAAAGGTGAAAAAAATTTTTTTTAAAGAAGTGAGGGGATATCCTGGAATGAGTTTGGATTTAGATCAGTTCCTCCTCTATAATCATCATTATTGTGTGAGAACTAGTGTTCAGAATCAAAGTCATGGGGCATTTCATTCATGAAATACAGATTCTTATTTTTGGAATCATAACTTTGATTTAGAATTGGAGGAAGAGGGAGAGATGGAACTTTCCAGCGTTTCCTGCACATTCCACTTTTGGAAGTATTTGCTGAGGCGGAAGAACAGAGTAGAGACACTAGTTACCACGACAGGCCAGACCGAAGGCTTTTGCTTGGGCCCTCATCCACTGTGACACCTGCTTCTGGGATGTGCCCGCTCGTCTCAGCGGAGTCCTGTAGGACCAGGTGACCGTCTCCCTGCCCTTTGGGCTTCCAGTCCCCCTTGGCATCTGAAAACAAAACCCCAGGTTCTTGCATCAGAATAAAATGGCTTTGGCCAGGTTCACATCACCCAGTTAAATTGTGATTATGGGATTTTTACCAAGCTCTGCAGAGGAGTCGTCTCCGTGGGGACTCTGATGCACTGGGTCCTGCGTTCCTACTTAGGCTAATGAGGGACTTTGGTCTGATATGCTTTTATGCCTCCTTTGCTAAAGTTCAATTTATTCATTCATTCAACAGATATTTCCTGCACTTTCTTTCCTATGTGCCTGTCCCCATAAGCTGCAGGGATACAGCAGTGAGCAAAACAGAACCCAATCTTTTCTGTCCTAATGCAGAGATAGACAATAAACAAGTGAACCATTCGGAATGTCCACAGTGGGGAAGTGGGAGAGGAATGAGAGAGAGTGGGGTAGGCAGTGCTGGGTGTCTTGTTTTCTGTGAGGCGCCAGTGCAGGCTTCTTGAGAAGAGGACACAAACACTACAAGGAGGCGAGCAAGGTTGTGTCAGTGTCCCCTCTTAAGCAAGCAGGTTCACATTTCCCCCAGAGCTCTGTTTGCCAACTCAGTGGCCAGGTGGCACTGCCTGTGCTCTGTACTCTTTGGTAAGGTTACATAAAAGTTAACACCTTTAGCTGAAGCAGGAGCATTAGGCAAAACAAGTAGAGGAGCAGCCGCTGTTGGCTGGTGATGGAATTCCCATCCCCTGGCTCCGTCCAGCTGGTATTCACCCGCCACTGACTCTCAGTGGTGCTGCTGGCTGGGTTCCTCATAGGACCAAATTCAGAAGGTACCCAGTGGAACATCCCTGCCCCCAGTCACCCAGTACCACTCTTCAGGAAGTACCTGTGTAACTGTTTCTTGTTTCTCTCCCGGAGATGTCCTGTGTGCACGCAGACTTGAAAACCCAGGCAAAAGCCCCCCAGATGCTAGCATTTGTGTCCTTGGCTTTTTTAGGTGGGCTGCTTCATGTCAGAACCTGTAGACTTGCTTGTTCTACATAATTTTTCTAAAATAATGCTGCATCTTGATTTAACTTGTTCCCCACGGATGGCTGTTTGGGATATTTTGAGTCTTTTGCTGGTATAAACAATACTGTAATGAACATCCTTGAATGTACATTTTTGCATACACGTGGAATTGCTGAATCAAAGGGAATGGGCAGTCACATTTTGACCGATAACAATTGAATGGCTCTCTGTTGCTGTTGTACCGTTTGCACTACCACTAACTGTGTAAGTGCCTTTTTCCCCACAGCTTCACCAACATGGGATGTTATCAAACTCTGACCTTTGCCTATCTAGTAGATGAAAAATGGCGTTTCTTCGTAGTTTTATTGCATGCCTCTTATTATGAGTGCAGTTATCTGTGATATGTATTGTTCCTAATTGAATTTTCTCAGTTTTTCTTTTTTGATAAGACTGTTTCCCATCTTTCTGTTTTTTAGGTGTATGAGCAATTGTGTTCTTATTTATTTTCAGATCATGCTGCTGTTCTGGTGCTTTCTTCCCCAAAGCAATAATATTAAGAACACATCACGTGTGTAAGGGATGCCCATTACTACTTTCCAAAGTTTATTTAAAGTGTTCGGAAATACTAGACACAATCAAGAAGTTTACCTGCATACTTAGATCTTTAAGCTGAGGTACACTCAGGTACCAAGGAATAACAATGTATCACGTGAACCTGGAAACTATCCGGAGATGAGTCCCCACATCCAGAGGCAGGAAGGGGGCCAGCCTGATCAGTGCGCAGGTGCTCCTGGCCAGGGGAGAGGTCAGGCCGGGTGACACAGACAGTTGTTCATCCAGGCTCTGGCTGTGACCAGCCTCTCCCTACAGTCCGCCAGCTTGTCTGGCCCTGGAACCCCTTTGGTTCCTCCCTCAGTCAGGGGTCTGGGGCTAAAGGGCGGGAGAAGAGTCTCAGCACCCACCCTTGCTGACGTGCCAGTGACCTTGAGAGCTGCTTGTGTCTTGCAGCTGCAGTTGGCTTCCTGGCCATGTCTAGTGTCATCACCATGTCTGCTCCCTTCTTCCTGGGGAGGATAATAGACGTCATTTACACAGACCCCACCGTGGACTACAGCAGCAACCTGACCCGCCTCTGCCTGGCACTCAGCGGCGTGTTCCTGTGTGGTGCAGCTGCTAATGCCGTTCGTGTCTACCTCATGCAAACTTCAGGTAAAAGCCCTCACCTCAACTCGGGGAGTGACCATCCCCGAGGACAGGCAGGGGACGCAGCGGCTGCCTGTGCTGCAGGCCCAAGGGTTCCTTTTCTTCCAGTACCATGCCCAGTGGGGACAGGTCCCCACGTAGGGCCAGATGCCATGCTGTGAGTGTAGTTAGTTCCAGCGCTCTCTTCTCAGCTTTCCTTTCACAGGAGCTGGGGTGCAGGGAGGCTGCCCTGCCCTGCTGCCTGTCTGCTGAGGGTTGGAGAACAGGCCTTCAGTTAGGTCAGCATTCTGGGCCCTCTTCAGGGAGTGGCCCCCTGCTTGTCCCCTGCAGTTGGAGCTGGCTGATCACTGCACAGCTTTCCGTGTTTAGGCCATCACTACCACAATCATGCCAGAGCCCAGGACGCCCAACTCCAAGTCGGTTGCTTGCCATTTCACTAATAAAATAAATACTTGGTAGATAATTAACCAGTTCTTGTCATTTTAAAGTTCAATACAGGAAAGGGTTGCCAAGGAGGACGTGAATTAGCTCTGGGGCAGGTAATGCAGTAAAATGTCTTTGTAAATAGGACATCTCGCAGCCACATTCCTCATTTCATCGCTGTAGCCTCTCCCCAGCATCCACAGTCTGTAGTTACTAAGAGAGCACTAATGCTAGTATGAATGCATGTGTTTCCACCCCACCGGATTGATGGGCACCAGGTGTGTGTGGGGGCTGCACTGCCCAGTAGAGGTGATGGCACTGGGCCGAGCTGTTGTGTGGGAGACTGAGCCGTTCCTGTTTGCTTTTGCAGGTCAGCGCATTGTGAACGGGCTGAGAGCTTCGTTGTTCTCCTCCATCCTGAGGCAGGAGGTCGCTTTCTTTGACAAGACCCGCACAGGGGAATTGATTAACCGCCTCTCCTCAGACACGGCGCTCCTGGGGCGCTCAGTGACTGAAAACCTCTCGGACGGGCTCAGGGCTGGGGCCCAGGCTTTTGTCGGTATTGGCATGATGGTACGTTGGCCGGCTCCTGTTGATACCCCCTGGCCAGGCCTTGGCCCGCACCAGGCCTCTCCGGCGTGAGGTCCGTTCTCATCGCCCTGTAGCCTCCTAGCCCAGAGCGCTGTCACAGGGGCTGCAGGAACACAGAGACAGCTCCCTCCCGTGGCCTCCTGCACCTGCATTTCTCCCGAATGAATGCTCATCTGCAGAACAGACTGCTGCATTCAGAAAATATTACATTGTTGCCAGGGTTTTCAGAAAATGTGTGCAGGCAGAAAAGAGCAGCAAGCGGAAGGAACCCTTTGGGTCTGAGCAGTGGGTCAGAGGAAGACAGTGACTTACATGCCCCTAAAGGCAGTGAGACTGCCACTGCTACCTTGAGGACCAACCAGC